AAGCGCTCGACCAAAACCTCTTTTTTTAAAATCTCCTCTCATTTGTTTCCACCTCTTCCTCTATTCCTCAATTTCCTCACTGAACTGAGCTTTGATTCTGGTTTATTTCTATATGGATTCAGTGTAATAATATATATGCAGACAAGTGGCCCTCAGAGTGTATATTCACTTATAGTGACATGGGAAATACTTGATAAGGTGATTAATTAACATTTTTTCTTCTCCAACTTGACTACATGTATCATAAAAGGGAGGGACAAATTCCAATCAGTCTTTTTATTTTGTGGCGACACATTGACGGTTGGACATTGGCATCCAATTTTCCCCTCGATTTCCTCCAAATTCAGCAAAGCCTCTATAATCCAGACGAAGTATTAAGAGCGATTCCTTGCAATGATTCATACCAGTAGCGATCCATCGCTGGAGAAATTGAAACTGATGTTGCCCCGCTGTGAGAAGGCTGGTAGACGAGATTATAACCACGCAATCCACTTATGGTGGTAGAAACTGTAGCAAATCTTGGTCTTGTAACACACAGCTCATATGGTTTTTATTAAGCAACTCATTTTTGCTGTGAAGGTATAAATAAAATACATGTAACTGCTGCCAATTTGAGGAGAAAAAGTGATTTAGTTTTACCTTTATGTTTAGAATACTGTAGAGTGCTATGGATTAAAGAAATACATGCAAATCATTGGTGATGAAAAAGGGGATAAGAAAGAAAGAACAAAAATATTGCACTCATTCCAGTTTCCAGATATGGACATGTATCACATACATTAAATATTGATTTGTATTAAATTTTCTTTTCTCTCTCTCTTCGTATTCCTCCCAATTTTCCTTTTCCCTATTTCCCCTTTTTTGTCATCTTATTTTCCTCCTGATATAACCAAGCTTCACTGTATTAAAATATAGGCCTATAGCTTAACAACATGAATATAGGATTCTTCCTTAAGTCGTCGCTGTTTTCACGAAGTGACGGTAGTGAAAAAAAAATTGCATTCACTTTGCTTTACGATTTTCCTCACTACCGTCACTTCGTGAAAATAGGGACGAAGTCAAGTGTCAAATTTACATCAACATGGTAAAGAGTAAACCTGATATTGATTGAACACCCCCACTCATCTACACACATGTGAATACAATACAATAGGAAACCAACACATACTAAATACTTCCTGTGTTCATTCTAATCACTTCCTGTCTTTATTGATAGGATTAGTCGAGTCCCATGATACCTTTAATCCTATTGTCTGTCTAATCAGGAAATTGATTATCCGAAGAAATCGAAGGCACTAATCTGGTTAGAGAAGAAACTCATACCATCAATTAAACAGAAAAGGGTCAATAAATTCTATCCTCGCCCCTTCCCCTGTTTGTAAAATTCGAATGAATTTCAGAGATATTTTCAAGGGAACTGCATGTACTGTACATTCCAATTCAAATACAGTTCATACTAATTGATGTGCTGTCCATGCACATGTACTTAAAATCTTGACATGTACTGTATATCATCTAGCAGTGCTGTAGACATGTCTTGCTTCGGCCAGTGACCAACCAATACACTGCACTTTCCATCTTTCCATTCTATTAAAATCATGTGCACATTTTAAATTTTATTTAACAGTATGTAGGCCTACATTTATGCATGTTCAAGCATAATTGATTTTAATTATGCATTCAATATATTTGTTTAATGTCGTTTATTTGTATAAAATTATTTACACTTAAAATATTGTATCAAACCATATTATGTTCATGAAAATGTATGATGAAAAAAAGAAAAAAGATGCAGAAACCAATATTCAAATCAAATCAAATAAAGAAATTAAGGGAAATCTTCAATGATTTGTGTTTTTATACAAAGTAAGGAATAACAAATCTGTATGGAAACCTCTAGACCCCTCCCTCTCTTGACGTCTCCCTCGCCTTTCCCACTTTCCTTTCCTCTACGCTGATCCTCTCTCTTTGTGATGTTTCGACATGGTGACTAGTTTGATTGATCAGGGAGGTGGATTGATCTCCCTGGATTGATCTATCCCTTTAAATGAAGTCCCTCTATGGTTTCTATGGTTTAACCCAGACACAGTCCAGTCAACCATATCAGAGACCTCCTTATTCATTCTTCCCCTTCCTTCCCCTTCCTTCCCCTTCCTTCCCCTTCCTTCCCCCTTCCTTCCCCTTCCTTCCCCCTTCCTTCCCCCTTCCTTCCCCCTTCCTTTCCCTTCCTTCCCCCTTCCTTCCCCCTTCCTTCCCCCTTCCTTCCCCCTTCCTTCCCCCTTCCTTCCCCTTCCTTCCCCCTTCCTTCCCCCTTCCTTCCCCCTTCCCCTTTTTTCCTTTTCTCCTTTTCCCCTTTTCTCTGCGCTGATCCTCTCTCTTTGTGATGTTTCGACATGGTGACTAGTTTAATTGATCAGGGAGGTAGATTGATCTCCCTGGATTGATATATCCCTTTAAATGAAGTCCCTCTTTGGTTTAACCCAGACACAGTCCAGTCAACCATATCAGAGACCTCCTTATTCATTATGACAAGTGGACTGTGTGAACACACACCGTCATGCAATGGGAACTCCACCTCTATTCACATTCAAATTTGAACAAAGCTATTAGGATTTTTAGTCTAGTCTAAGAAAATAGACCCAAAATGTTAATACTTTATTTGTGTGCCCTATTGTTTTGTTTCTTGCAAGGTAAGAAAGTGTCGCAACATAACATCTTCACATAAATACCGGTAATTTAACTACATCTATTTCGCTGTGGAAAACTGTTGCTGATTGTAAAAATGATGCTAGCCTAGCCACTTGCAACATTTGGGAAAGTTGCATGGACACCAAACCAAAGTGTCTGGTTTTGATGTTATTCTGTCTTAAGAATTGGCAAAGAAACCAAAACTACAAACCTGAGATTAAAAGCGTGATTTTGATTTATTTGTATTTGTCAGTAATATCATTTAAAATTGCATGTGAGAACTATGTACAATACATGTGTGCATGGCTCTAATCAAGGGCACCCTAGTGTTACATATGAGGTGAATTTTAAAAGTCAATTATAGACTGTGGCAACATTATTTTTGTAATCTGCAAACATTATGCAACACATAGCTCAAAAATCAGAACTTAACAAATTGCCGTTAAACTGCAATCAGTAGCCAAATATCACATCATCAAAAATGTTACGTACATAACTCGGTGTCCACTTCATGCTGATATTTCTCTTATAATTTAAATTTTTTCTGACTAAGTACATTAGACGTTAAAACATACCGTAAACAAAACTTAAAACCATTGCCATATCAACTTTTTTCAATTTAGTTATTAGAATATGGCCAAAACAAATGTGGACACCGAGTTATGTACAGTACATCTTATTCTCTGCATGCTTTCTCTTTGCCTTATTGTCAGATATGGTTTTGCATTAGTCTAATAATGACTTCAATTGAAGGAATGATGTGTTTCCTGAATGAAACATAATTTGCAATGTGTAAATAGTTTGTAAACTACTATTTCAGGACTGAAATGTAAGATTTCTGTACTTAATCGTACATAACTGTGGACACCAAAAGTAAGTAGTTATACATTCAAATAATAACTTGTTGTTCCTTAAATTCAATAAATGTTTGTTTAAATGAAAATGCAGAAGGGTGCAATTCATGCTGTAAGAAATAAATTGATTTAATTATGATAATTCATTTCAATTTTTGATTGGTAGTAACGTACATAACTCGGTGTCTTTTCATAACGGTGTCTTAGTTATGTACATGACATAAAAAAGTTCAAACTGCAATATTTTGTAATATTCTTCTCACCAAATCAGACGTGTGTATGTCTTATACATTTTTTACTACTTTACCATGACAAATAACTAAATATAGGTGGTCTTATTGGAAAAACATAACATGGAATACGTACATAACTGTCACGTACATAACTCGGTGTCCACATTCATTGTTGATTAAATAATACATACAAGCTAAAATGGGGAATCCAACGTTATCAGTGCTCTTCATTCACCTATATACACCATTACATTATCATTTTGAAAGAATACAATATGTTTTTGTATAGATTCTGTTGCACTGGTATGTACATAACTGCAGGACACCAAACATTTTCCATTTACAGAAATCTAAATATTTTTAAAACGATGACCCAGAATGAAATGATCTGATTGGAAATCAAAGATAAAGTGAAACTAAACATTATAACATTGCAAGCTTGTAAATAAATCAATTATTTATGCACCATTCTTCAGTTAGTAAAGTTTGAAATTTGCAGGACACCAAAGTTATGTACATATCGCAAAAATTGTATCACATGTAAATGGAATAAGAAAGTAAAATAATAGGAATTAACTCAGCAGAAATGTTAATTATTACATAGATTCTACATCAAGATAAAAAAAATCATAAGTTTTGCATCCCACTAGTAAAAATCTGGTAACCAATTAGTGCATGTTTTGAATGTAACATTAAAAGTGCTGTAAATAGGCCTTTTTACATCATAAAATTGCTCTAAAATCTTTAATTTGAACTCAATGAAGCTGAAACCTTGTTTGGAGCTTTCCCCAATGGTACTTTCTAATATAACAATGCTAATTTGTGTCTGGGTCTCATGGTTTTGGATAATTAAACAATTTCCCAGTGTTCAATCTAAGTGTACCCTTGATCTGAGCCATGCACACGTACATGTACATGTAGATCTACTCTAACTCTACTTGCCTTGATTTATAGGCAACCATGGCATGGAAAAGATTGCATTTGCCATTATCAAAAAGAAATATTTTCCCCCTAAACTGTTGGCCTGATATTTTACTGTACATGTACATGGCTGATGATCAGTCATTTCAATTCTAATCATTTACTAAATGTTGACCTTATGACCTATGATTTAAATTACAAAAATGTGTGTACATGTATGGCACTTTAAAAATGATAGGCAATAATGTATTTAAGTCTGTTTTGAAAGACTATTCTTACCCCTTGCATTCTTTTGTCACCACAGGGGTTCCCTCTCCAGAGTGCCTGCTGTGCACCCCTACCTCTGCCCATGAGTGGAACGACCCAGTCTCTGCCTTTGTTACACACTGTGTGAGTGGCCGAGATAAGAGGCTTCCTAACTATCCCCTCAATTACAGGCTCAAGATGGGCTCCAAACCGGACATTAAAAAGGGACTATAAATGTGGATATTCCTCAATCTTTGCATGAACTTGATGCCTTATTTCATAATTTAGGTAAGTAACTAGTGACTATTCTAATAATCCATGTATTCCTTCGTTTTATGAATGCTCCGTGAAATTATGATAAGATGTGTGTAAGAGATTGTGTGTATGTGATAAAGAGGTGCGATGGGGCAATTGTGAACTTGCAGTAACAGGCATCGGTAGGGTGCGCATAATAGTGGTGCAGCCAGCAATATGTGATGAGAAGTTGGGATGATGTGTGTAAGAACATGGGAGTTTTACTAGGACCTCCGGGTGAAGCATGATGAAGATGGGAGAAACGATGAGATTCTTACGGCTGTCGTTAAAGTGCTTCTCACACGCACTGGGACCAAGTTTTATGATCTTTCAGCTAGCAATTAAACAAATAACGGGTTGCCTGATTCGCTTCCCAATATTAATTCTGGCTTCATAGTGAATGACTGATAGAGTCACAGACATGTAGATTGTTGTTTCTACATTGAGCTGTAGTTATCATGCTGATAATGTGCGTCAAACAATGCAGTATTGACTCATTGATAAAGATGTTTGTCTTCCCCAAAATGAGTGTGTAAATGATTTGGTTTCTATCCTAAACATTCTTGTTAAATCAACAAAAGGTCTTTAGTTCAGGAGTTAGCAGTAGTTTGTCTTGCCTCAGTGACAACTGACAATGCAAGAGTATATTTTCGTCATGACTTTATGATGTCCCATATAAATGTAGAGTTTTAAAGAATATATAAGATAATTCATTTGAAACGGTTCGCATTTCCTTCTCCATTACCTTTTCAGGTTCCGAAATCTAATTAGAAAAAGAAAATAGAAGGACTTACAGAACAAGCATAACGCTTGCTCTTGCTCTGTGAAGATGCCTTGTAGGCTTGTACTGTATGTTGAACATACATTATATAACAATAATTGTAGGGAAAGAGAATAAGGGATTGTATTAAGACAGGAAGATCATTGACTTAAAATTATGACAAAGAAAAGGGATAATATGAGGAGAGACAGACAATAAAGAGAGGAGATATAAATTATCAGAGCAGGATGCAAATGTACCGTATAGTCAGGCATTTACAGGTGTACCTGTAAATGTACAATGTACATGTATGTACATGTATGCCTGGATGCACTATAATGTAATAGGAAATAATTTTGTGATTTTGATCTCCTTTTACCAATTCATATTGTAATTTATTTGTTGCATCAGCAGCCCCTTTGAACTGAAATTGTTTGGGAAGATTGTGTGCTGGTCACTACAGGTCATTTCACAATTCACATATCACTTGTGTAGTTCAGTCTCAATAGTAAATTTGCTCTCTCCAAATTTGCTGTTCGAAAGTCCTTGCAAAACTGTTCAGGATTGTGTACCATCACAGGTTATTAGCCATGGACTTTGGTTTTATTTACCGTATGAGGGAATATGATGGGTGATCATCATCACTATAGTTTGTGTAGCAGTGCTCCTTATTATTGGCTTGATTTTCAAAGCAGAGGTCATATAAATGCAGTTTTACCTTCCCCAGCTGTAGTTGTCCAACTCCCTAGATGGGTAATAGTAATACCATAACAATATTGGTTCACAAAAGACCCTCAAACCAGGGATATTGCTCTAACTTTTGATAGATACTGGGAAGTTGTAACAATGATAAAACCCTGACAGGCCTAGCAAGACATACTGTACACTGTACTGGTTTGGAATCAATCTATTAGTCTAGAAATTGTTCATTTTTCATCTGAAATTACGAGTCTATAAATATAACCATCAGTAGGTTTAATAGACCAGGAATTGTTTCTACAAGAACAAGCCAATGACCTTTCACAAATCCCCTGTTTCGTCTTTGTTTTGAACATTTAGGTTCATAAACACAATACACTGTGCAGGTGTATACTGTTTGTTCTTTTGCATCTTTTTTTCCTGTTGTTAGTGAATGAATTAAAGCCAAAGAAACAAGATTAACAATTTTATCTGACTTTTCTATGTTGTGTTACTCTACATGTACATATATACTTTCATGGCTATAACTTTATGATTGGAAAAAAAGATTATCAGCGATGCATTATGTAGTTTATATACTTGTACATGTACATTTAATTATATTCTAAACTTTTCCTCAAGTACAGTACATACATGTACCAATGTTTATCCTCTGGAAGAGGTACTGCAGGTACAGTGTATATAAATCCAAATATTATTATTATTATTATTACAAATTATTACAGACATACATGTACATATTACATTTTGGCCTACCAATATTTTGAATAACAAGGAAAAAAGTACTAAAAGCATTCTACATTGTTGGAAACCTTTGAATTTTTATAGTGGGTATTAAAATGTGAAGAATTCAACTGAAATGCCCATGGCCATGCAGACCATGCAGAGTAATATTTGCTCCCATCAAATGACCCTCACAATCAGAAAATGTAGGCCAACATATTGTACACATGTACTGTATGTATATTGGTTAAACTTGGACTTTGGAGCGGAATTCTTGTTTGACTTGAGTCTCTATGCAGTGAACCTTTACACTCGCAAAATATGAGACAGGATCAATCATGAAGTTACATTGTATTGCAACCAACCAGTAGACTGCAAAGAAGCATCAATTGTAACAAATACTGAACAATGGTGAAAAAGATGTTTTGAAACTGAATATACGATGCCCTTCGGTGATCATTATCATATTAAAATATGTGCCGGCCCGCAAAATTCACTTTGCTTTGTATTTCTGTTCAATCTTTTCTACATGTATCTATTGATTGTTGGGGGAGAGAATGATTAATTTATCATTTAGAATTGAATATTCAGCTCGGGGATTTATGCCGAGATATATACTGTACATGTATGTAGGAAAAATGCATTGTGAAATAGAGAAGTACCATGAAATGCTTGGAAAGGATTTGACATATGAATGGACTAATTAATGGACCGTATTGTAGGCAAAATTTTACCATACTTTACAAATGACTTACCTTTGGATTATGGGCCAATTAAACATGTAGATTTTAAATGCTTTGAGGATTTTGGAAATGAAAATGATAACGTTCTTTATTCTGGGATTTTCCAAACTCTCCCTAAAATCCCCTCTTAGTTTTTGTTAAGCCTAAGGTGAAAATAGCTGTGCAGGATAGGCATGACTGGAAAAGAAAAAGGAAATAAAAGAAAAAATCCACACCACTCCATCTTTAAAAGAAAACAATCAATAAAGTGGGACATCATCAATAATGTTTATAGAAAGGGCTTTCAAAGCCTTCTTGACTATGTAACTTACCCTCCATTAGAATCCATCAATACTTTTACTGCTCGCCTGCCACAGTCGTAAGGTAATAGAGGAAAAGGGGTAGTTAGTCATGTGCCGCTCGTATCATCCTAATGGATAGGTGCTAGTGTGGGTGTCATTAAATTCATCAGGTCTTCACTTGAAGGTATGTTCAGTTTCAAGCAACGTACTGTATACAGTTAACCACTAAATTGTTCATACCCTTACCAAGTTTTGCACTTTTTTAAGTATGTAAAAAAATTATTGTCCCAATTCATGCTTTTTGAGAATGTGGCATAAATAAGTATTCAACAGAAGCCGTAATTCAACCAGTCCACCTTTCATTATTGCGTAGCAAAGAACACAAAATACATCAAATTTACCTGGTACAAAGGGTATGAGAATGAGAATACAGTTGTGTACTAGTTTTTTTAAAGGCTAAATAAATTACAAATTCACAAAGAATGTTGAAAATGGTGATTACATTTATTTCCAGCTTGTATGACTACAGGGGACAATTTTAAACTTAAAATATTAAATAAAAGCATATCTTGCACAAACTTAAAGTGTTCACTCAAAAGCACTTGAAACACAAGGTGTGAAAAATGTATTGTTAACATGTGTTAGTTGTCTGAGAACTTTGGACACTACATGAACTTGAAGTAGAATAGATTATATGATAATTATTTTGAGTATTACAATGTAGGTACATGTACATGTATTACACAATAAGACTGAGGCAAATTTACATTTGATTGAATGGAACAATGCAGGTAACAATTCAGAGTGTTTGAATGAACTTCTTTATATTGATATATTGATCAAAATCTCTAATTCACATGAAATTTCCCATATTATCGAATACAAGAATATACATACATACATACATATTGATATTTATATAGGGCCTTTACATGAACATGCTCAAGGCGCTGTAACATGTAGTTTTACACAAGTTTGTAGGCCTACAGTACATGTCAATGTGTTTGAATTGTTGAATTTGCTATTACTGAGATGCAGAATCAATTTGTTATCTATTCGCCATTTTGCGAACAATTGCAGCCCATGTTCCTTTATATTGCTCATGTAGGTAATATGTAGGCCTTCACATAATGGATGTTAGTCACAAGTCATGATTGACCATTATGAATTACAATTTAATTATGCTTGTATTGTTAGTTCTTACATCAATTGTCATATATTTCTGACAAACATGTTAAACGATTGCTTTGTTAGTTTGTATCCTTGATTCCTTATTCATGATTTGATAGATGTGACAATTCATGGTTGGTTCTAAGCCCACCGCGAGGGTGTATTCATTATAAACCATTGGCTACTGATCTCTCTTCTCCCAAAGGATGAACATTGCCATGAAGTCTAGGGATTTTTAAAAGGCTAAATTGGTGTTCTTCGAATTGACAACAATAATATTAACTAATTAATACTTTGAAATGCTAGTGCGCCATAATGGCAGCACAGCTAAAGCCGGAGTAATAATCTCCAACAAAGTTTGGAAGTGCTTAGTGATTCTGTAATTAAAGGTAATACAAAGTTTTGGGAAATTTTGAAAATTGGGTGGATAGTGAATCTTTACAATTTTGTTATATTTGGATGCCCCTGTGGATGTTTTATAAGCACAACAAAAATTAGCCCCTAAAACACTTCTGTTTTCGAGAAAAATTGAATATAAAAATTTACCGGTGCTCCCGGTAAATTTTGATAAATTTCAAATAGCGCCTATGGCCGTACAATGGTAGCTGCGACCATGAA